CTGCGCACAACGGAACAAAATGTTGTCTGGCCCTGTGGCATCTTCATGACCGCTGGCATGTTTGAATCCATTGTTGCAGTCGCTGTGTATTCTGGGTGACTTCCAATCTAGGGGGCTTGTCTTCCAGCACTATCTCAGACAATATTCTGTTGTGAGTCATACGGTTTGCATCGGTTAATTTTCAAAAGTAGCTCACCAGGCCTTTCTTCCTACTTTGTCTTAGTCTGGAAGCTCCACTGAAACTTGTCCACCATGGGCGACCCTGCTGGTATTTGAAGTACCAGTGACATAGCTTCCAGCAACACAGCAACATGCAAGCTTCCACAGTACAACAACCTGACAGATGGGTGGTGTTTTCATGTTGTTGGTGGTGGGGGTGGCTGCCGTCAAGTAGGGCTCCCACTCATGGCAACCTCACGTGTTACAGAGTAGAACTGCTCCAAAGGGTTTTCTTGGCTGTGAACTCTATGGAAACAGCTTGCCAAGCCTTTCTTCTGTGGTGCCACGGGGTGGGTTCAAACGGCCAAACTTTGGATTAGCAACCGATCAGAAACCACTTGTGCCACCTGGGCTCCCTGGTGTTTTTATAGCCTCTTCTAATTGGTTTGGAGCCCTGGTGGCACAGTGGTTAAAAGCTTGGCTTCTAACCAAAAGGTCGGCAGCTCGAATCCACCAGCTGCTCCTTGGAAACTCTATGGGGCAGTTCTACTCTGTCCTATAGGGTTGCTATGAGTTGGAATTGATTCAACGGCAATGGGGTTTCTAATTGAGTTCTTACCTCCTGTAACACCCATTCTCCAACCCACCATCCAATACTGCCAGCGAGACTCCTAAAGCCCATGAAACCTCAGTCTTCAAATGACTCAGATCTGCAAGAAAAAGTCCAAACTCCTCAGCTTGGCATCTAAAACCCTTCACAGTGCAGCCAACATTGTCAGCCACAACTCCCATAATCCCCTTTCATTTGCCCTATGGCCAAGTTTCACCAGGCAATTCGTCATACCCTGGACATGACAAGTACTTCAAGGCAAGTATCTTGCCTAGCCTGACCCCTCTGCCTAGAATGCTAACGAGAGTGGCTCTGGGGTTTGTATCCTAGCCTTGTGATCTTGGGTAAGTTACTTAACTTTTTTGTGCCTCAGTTTCCTCATCTATGAAATAAGAGTACTACCCACCTCCTGGGATTATTGCAAAGTTCAAATGAGTCCAAACAAGTAGAGTTTAGATCAGTTCCTAATACATAATAGGTCCTTAAAACGTTACCTGTGGTTATTATGAATAGATTCAAACTCTCCAAGGTTTAGTTCAATGTCACTTGCGTGAAGAATGAGTTGCTCCTCCCTGCGGGCATGTGAGTAACTCTGTCATAGTGTTTATTTCATTCCCTAGTCATGGAATTTCAACAACACATGACAGCAGTTGAGAGAACACCCAGCTCCTAGTAGATGCTTAATAAATAAGAGTAGTCTGGGCTTCTGCTGGGTGCAATTGAGACTTCTCAGACATGGTTATCTGTTGCCTGCACTGGTCAGGATGAACTAAGTTATGCTGTGGTAACATACAGCCCCAGATCTCAGTGGCTTCAAACATCAAAGGTTTACTT